ATGATTTCCCAGATAAACATACCCCACCCCATTAGGACACAGCAACAGATAAGCTGACAAACTGTAGCATATACATAAAGGGGAGTATTATTTGGTCACAATATAGATGAACCTTAAAAACATGATGGTATGCGAACATTACACAAAATATGCAGAACAGGTCAATCCACAGAGGCAGAGTGCATGCAGACTGGTGGTGGTCAGAGCTGGGGTCGGGGACTGGTGTGGAGACAGGGAGTAACCGGTTATGGGGACAGGCTTTTCTTTGGGATGATCCAGCTGTTTGGGAACTAGACGGAGGTGGTGGTTGCACAACACTGGGAATGTACTGAATGCCACTGAGCGATTCGCTTTAAAACTGTTGATTTTGTTGCGTGCATTTCAACTCACTGAAAAATCTATCAAATCACAGAACTTGGGAGGCTGAAGGAAAAGGATCTTGAGTTCAAGGCCAGCCTGACCTACATAGCAAGATCCTGTCTCAAACAAAACAAAACTCAATCATCTGTGGGTTTTGCTTTTTGTCTTAGGAAGAGGACATTCAGGAGCAAAACAAGATCCATGTGTGAAAGAGCTGCCCTTAAGCTCTAAGGGAAAGGTACGGGTTTTGCCGGCCATTTCTGCTCTTCATCAAAACAGCCAAGTGTTAGTTGTACAGGCTGTCCCTGCACTGTCTGTGCATGTGAGTGCTTTTCTGAAAAAAAGACAATGAAGGGAACAAAGTGAAGAAAATAAGATGAGAGGACCTTTGCCAAATTTAACAGAGGAGGGGTTATTCCCCTACAGCACCCCACCCAACTTGGCACCAAGAGTAACGCTTCAATTAGGGTTTCGAAACGCCAGCCTGAGCTAGAATCAGCACAAGCAAGCTTCCCTGACTGGACAAAGAGCAAGCCACCCAGCAAGAAAAGCTAGGGTGCTCCATTTGCTGCCGATATTGGCATCAGAACCACCCTTTGCTTAAAAGCCCTGAGCTGGCTCAGATCAGCACCAGTGACTTATTCTAACCAGGACAGCCAGCCTAACAGCATGGGTTCTCACAGCTCGGATGTGCCCCTCCTCCTGAGGGGTTCCACTCTACTCAACCCTCCTGCCTTCCAAGAACCCTACCTCCAACAACATACCACCAATGTGCCATGCTTTACAGCACTAAAATAGAGCCAAGATGCCCTCAGAATTTTCCTTTGTCCAGCCTGAAATAAATATCCTGCCGGACCCTCCTCCCTCCGGGGCCAGTGCAGTAAGTAACCTGTGATCCCTACACACACTGGTGTGCACACAGTCTCCGGCTCCTGACTCCACTGCGGAGCAGAAATGAGCCCCACATGCGCCAGTGTGCATCAATATCCAGGAATAGTCCCTCCAGCGCACCTACCATACCGGCCCTCTCAAAAGACCCTCAAGTCGCCTGGCACCATTGCCTCTGACATCCAAATCGTCACAGGTGTCCCTCAGCTAAACACCAAAGCCCCCTTCACCCTGTCCATGCTAGGCATGGGCGTTCCTCCCGAGAGCACTCAACTCTTTGCAAACAACCCTCCCTGACACCCACTCCAGCCAGGCCTCGACCACCTCGGACCCCCAGGCTGGCCCGGATGCCCTCCCCTTACCTGCGGGGGCTCAGCCCTGACTGACAGGGGGCTGGGCAGCGCCTGGAGGAGCAGGAGCGCCATGCCACCCAGGAGCCTTCTCCTCTCCATCCCCCTCCTGCTCCTGCTCCTCCGCCACGGCGCCGCCACCCCTCCTCCTCCTCCCTCTCTTCTTCCCTCTGCTTCCTTCTTCCCTTCTTTTCCTGTTTCGCTCTCCCCTCCCGCTTCCGGCTCGGCTCCACCCCGCCCCAGGCAAAATGCCCTCCCAGATACGGAGGAGGGTCTCCAGCTCCCGCGCCTCATTGGCTCCTGTCTTCCATCCATTGGTCCAAATAGCTGTGTGTCTAGTACTAGTCCCAGCCCCCCCTCGTGCTGGGTGACTTAGCCAATGAAAAGTGGGAGGAAGCCGGGCCATCTTGAATGCTACGAGGTGCATAAAAGTGCAGTGCACCCCGCCCCGCAGAGAGTGGCGGAAGTACCGAGAGCTGGGGACGAAACCATCCGGATGCATTGAAAAGGTTGACCGTATGTAGCCATTTTGAGTGTGGCGGAAGTGTTAGGTTCCAAGTTAGGGGGTGGGAAAAGGAAAAGAAAAAAAGAGGTGGTGAAACATGATGATTCTAAAGGGTACTTCTAAAGAGTAAAACAATTGCAATCTAAAAGTTTCTTTTGGTCCCTTTTGTATTAAAGTACAGGCAGCCCTATTATCAGGATCCCTTTTCCAATCTCATTAACCAAGCAGCAGCTTAGATCCATTTGAATTATCTACTAGATAGTAACTCTATATTAGAGACAGTGCTCTGCCATCCCAAATTTTAAGGACAAAACTCTTAGGACTCTACTCAGAAACAGCTCTGATATCCACCACTCATCGTTTCAGCCATGTTAACTTCTGGCTAAATGAAAACGGCTTCGCAATGCCCTGCAGAGGAGCCGCTTCTCCGCCCTCTCAGGTCCCATCCACACACCACATCGACATTACTGGTCTACACAAACATTACTATGTAGCAGCCTCACCTTTGACAATGCTCATCCCCCTGGGTGGGGGATGTACCGCTCGGTGGTAAAACGGCTTGCATGGGCAAGGCCCTGAGTTGAGTCCACAGTGTGAGCCATAAGGAAAAGAGAAAGGGAAGAAATACGGTAGCTAAACGGTGGTGGTGCACACCTCTAACTCCAGCACTCAGCACTCAGCAGGTGGATAACTGCGAGTTCAAGGCCAGCCTGGTTTATAGAGTGAGTTCCAGGACAGCCAGGGCTACATAGACTCTGTCTCGGAAAAAACAAACAAAAACCATCTATGAGAACAGGCATGCCAATCAATAGCTTGAAGATCTGAAAGCTAAGGAAAGCTGATCTTTACAGAGAATACAGTGAGAAAATTCCCTCAAGTTCTTATGTTTCTTTTCTCATATGTCTGTGGAATAGAAAAGCTGAAGCCAAATCTCCCATCTTTAAAAAGCTGGCTGGAAGCCTGGTGGCAGTGGCGCATGCCTTTAATCCCAGCACACGGGAGGCAGAGCCAGGCAGATCTCTGGGAGTTCAAGGCCAGCCTGGTCTACAGAGCGAGATCCAGGACAGGCACCAAAACTACAGAGAAACCCTATCTCGAACCCCCGACCCCCACCCCCCAAAACAAGCTGGCTGGAGGGACTGGAGAGATGGCTCAGAGGTTAAGAGCACTGGCTGCTCTTCCAGAGGTCCTGAGTTCAATTCCCAGCAACCACATGGTGGCTCACAACTATGAGATCTGATGCCCTCTTCTGGCTTGCAGGCATACATACAGACAGAACATTATACATAACAAATAAATAAATCTTAAAAAAAAAAAAAAGTTGGCTGGAAAACAGACTTTCCTGCTCACCTACCATGTACCAGCCAACATCAAACTTCCCATTGTAACAAGGAAACCTGTAAACGTGCTAAGTGAGAGAAGCCAGAAACAGAAGAGAAGGCCCATAGTGTGATTTGAAGACAGGAAATAGATGAGGAGCTGGAAGGGGATGGGGCTGAGGGAATGAGGAGTAATGAACTTGGGTTTTCTTGGAGGAGGGATAATGAAAGTACTCTGAATTACAGTAGCAACAACTATACAACTTTGTGACGACTGGACTAAAGAGTACTAAATCATACAATTTTTTGTTGTTTTGTTTTTCGAGACAGGGTTTCTCTGTGTAGGCCAGGGTGGCCTCGAACCCACAGAGGTCTGCCTGCTGGGACTAAAGGTATGTGCCACCACTGCCCAGCTTTAAATCATATAATTTAAGGGATCAATTTGGCTAGGTGTGGAAGTACACAGCTGTAATTTCAGCACGCACCAGTCTGAGGAGAAAAGACAGGAGTCCAGGATAGCCTGGGCTCCATCCAAAAGAAAACATTAGGCCGGGCGTTGGTGGCGCACGCCTTTAATCCCAGCACTCAGGAGGCAGAGGTAGGTGGATCTCTGTGAGTTCGAGGCCAGCCTGGTCTACAGAGTGAGAACCAGGACAGGCGCCAAAACAACACAGAGAAACCCTGTCTCGAAAAACCAAAAAAAGAAAAAGAAAAGATAAGATCAGTTTCATGGTGTGTTACATTTTAAAATGGGTGTGGAGTTGATTGCAGCTGCAATCTTAGCATCAAGGATGCACTGTCCTTTAGTGGGACTGTGTGGTATCAGATCAACATGACCAGCATTACAATGAGCACACCTGCACATCCTCAGGCTCCATCCACAGAACTGGAAGCGGGGGTGAGCCTTTCCGCTCGTGTCTCTCAACATCTTTAGGTGACCCTGGGATACAGTTTTCCTCTTTGTTGCTCTGGCTGGCCTGGAATGTGCTATGTAGACCAGGATAGCCTCAAACTCATGAAGATCCACCTGCCTCTGCTTTCCAAGTGCTGGAATTAAAGGCGTGCCCAGCCCGGCCTACTATACGTTCCCAAGAGCCACAGTTGCAGGGTAGGGGAGACTTATGTTAAAACTTTATATGACACATATACAAAGTCTCCGCCCATGTTTTAGATTTTCTCTTTTTATAACTCTTTAAGAGATGTAAAACCATTTCTGTTTCCAAGTGCACAGAGAGACAGACAGACAGACACACACACACACACACACACACACACACACACACACAGAGAGAGAGAGAGAGAGAGAGAGAGAGAGAGAGAGAGAGCGCACAGGTGAGTTTGGCTGTGTTATGGTCCACCAATTCCAGCCCTAAGGCTGCACAAATCCCATTCTTGGAGACCAGTGGAGCATCAATACAGGTGGGTGGATTCTTCCCCCTTATTAGGAAAATGAACAATGGTCTCCAGACACCAGACAGGTCCCCTTACAGCTGTGACATCCTCTGGCATGCCCAGGCCAAAGTCAGACCACAGGTCCTGCTTTCCATCAGGAATTAGGAGCTTGGTTTGCAGACAATGTTTCATGGTCTTTCAAATCGTTTATTCAGTTCATGGCAGCGTTTGAACACAATCGGCAAATCTTACCAGACAAAACTCACATACACACTGACCCCAGGTAAACTACAGTCCCCAGGGGTAAACTACAGTCCCCAGGGGGCTCCAGGAACAGACAGGAACTAAAGCGGCCCTTTGCTGTGTGCTCTCTTTGAGCTCCTTGGTCCTGGTTGACTTCCTCTCAGAGATGTCCAAGTACAGCTCCTGTCTTACCAATACTCACCAGTCTTTCTTTGGTATTAATCTACTGGGCTCAGGAAGGGAGGCCACCAGGAAATCGCTCCCATTAAAATGTGTGGCAGGTGCCTTCACTCAGTGAGGGGACTTGTAAACCAGGGGAGGCAATGAGAAAGAGACTTCTCTCAGAATAAGGGTCCCAGAAATAGATCTAGACATGATTTTCCGACAGAATAAAGTCATTATCAAAGGGATAGAACTTGATGCCCCACATAACTCGGGTGAAATGCCAGTCTGGCTGTACACTCTTAAGGCTCTTTGGTCCTGGTTGAACTGTGCTCGGGTGTCCAAGCACAGCTTCCTTTTCCTATTTGACCTAATGGGCTGAGGAAAGGAACTGTCTGTCCAGTTTTTGTCCTTTTTTAGTACAGATAACTCTCACCGCCTGAAAAACTCAAGTCTAGCAGCATTCCCAAGGATGCATCCCAGTCAGGGCACAGTGGGGCAGGGTAGAGATGAGTCCCCAAGAGGACACAGACTGACCCCTCTCTGTTCCTGAACAGGGGCTGTAGAGACGGCTCAGCAGGTAAGAGCAGCAGCTGCTCTTCCAGAGGACCCGGGCTTGATTTCCAGCACCCACGTGATGGCTCACAGTGGTAACTCGAGTCCCAGAGGATCTGACACCCTCCTCTGACCTCTGTGGACACTGTGTGCAGAGAGACACACATGAAGGAAAACACCCATACACATAAAATAAAAGTAAAGTGATCAAAAGCCTTTTCAGACTCGCACGGGTAACGTTCCCCTTGCTTGGGAAGGAGGAAGTGGGAGGATAGAGGACTCAGTACATCTACAGTCCTGACTGGAGAAGAGTCACAGGTTTTCTAATCACTCCCAGACATCAGCAGCCTCTGCTGAGACGGCCTCAGCCTCTGCTCCCAAAGGACAGGGGTCAAGGACAAAGCAGACAGAATACCTCTGTCCTTGTTCCCTCCCCTACTTTTTTGAGACACTCTCTCTAACTCAGGCTAGCCTCAAATTCCCCACATACCTAAGGCTGACTTTGAACTTCGAGTTCTCCTGCCTCCACCTCCCAAGAACAAGGTCACAAGCACATACAACCATGCCTGAATCACATGGTGTGAAGGATTAAATCCCAGGCTTTGTGGATGCTAGGCAAACACTACCAACTGAGCTACATCCCCAACCACCTTGATCCCCATTTGAATTTTTGTCCTGGTTGTTTATACGGAAACAGGAACTATCTCCCCACCCACCCACTCTATCTCCCAGTCCAGCCTGGCTTTCAGACCTTATTTCAAAGAGGAATGTGGACAGCTGCCAGCGAACAGCTGGTCCATACAGGGTACGGATTGGTCCTTGAAGGCATGGCACACTTAGAGACCCTTGTTGAAGTAGGCAAAGAGGACGTGTTCTCCATACTTGGCCTTGATGGTGTCCTGCAGCTCTGGTTCTAGATAGGAAACTGCTAATTTGCTGAAAAGAAAACCAAAAGGGAGTTATGAGGATGCTGTTACCCAACACAATCAGCAGTTCACCCTGAGAAAAGAGCCCACCCCATGTCCCCTCTAGGAAGCACATCCTAGTTAGCATGAACTATTAACTTGACACAGCCTAAAATCACCTGAGCAGAGTATCAATTGAGTAACTGTCTTTATCAAGTTGATCAGTCTCTGGGCATGTCTGTGAGGAACTGTCTTGACTGTTGACTGATGTGGGAACACTGGGCCACTGTGGGTGGCGCCATTCCCTGGGCAGGTGGCCTTGGGCTCTGTGAGAAAGTGAAGCACGAGCCTTGTGAACAAGCCGGCAAACACGATGCCTCCATGGCTTCCGATTCAAGCTCCTGTTTGAGATCCTGCTGACTCCCTGCCCTGCCTGGACACACATGTACAAGCCAAATAAATCCTTCCTCCCTAGTGAACTTGTCTCCCTGAAAGAGATTTCCTACAGTTCTACAGGATGAGAGCAGGACTGCTGAGAGGTGCACATCCGCGGCCTCTAAAAGTCTCTCACTGCAGAACCCTAAAGACAGACTTGAGGGGTGACTGACCCCCTTGTTCCTCCCACAGTGGGACCTCACTGACTATTTTTTTTTTCTGCTTTTCACTAAAAAAGGGGGAAAGGGACTGGAGAGAGGACTTCCAGAGGATGCTAGTTCAAATCCCAGCACCCATGTAAGGCAGCTCCAACCTGCCCATAATTCCAGCTTCAAGGGATCCAAGGCCCTCGTGTGACCCTTGCTAACACCAGCCGACACAGACAGACACGGGAATAAAAAATAAAGGGACAAATCCTCCTTCGTCTAAACTGCTGTTAGTCATGGTGCTTGTCACAGCAACAGAATGGAACTAATGCAGAGCCCTTTCTGGTTTTTAAAATACGCCCCCTTCTCTGTGTGTGTGTGTGCATGTGTGTATGTGTGTGTGCACATGTGTACAGAGGCCAGAGAGTAACATCAGATGTCTTTCTCAATTGTCCTCCGTTTCATTTTTTGGAGACAGGATCTCTTACTGAACCTGGAACTCACCAATTCAGCTAGGCTGGCTGGCCAATGAGCTTCAGGGATCTGCCTGTCTCTGCCCCCCTAACACTGAGATTACACACACACAGCACTACAGCCAGGTTTTTATGTGGTTCTGGGGAATCTAACTCGGATCCGAGCTTGCAGGACAAGCACTTTACCAGCCAAAATTACTGTTGGCCTCTATGTGTCAGAATAAATGTTACATCTCACCTCCACATCATTCTCCCTGGACTAAAGTTCTTAGTCTAAACGTCTGTCTTTCTCACAAGTCTGTAAGCATGGTGCTCAGGACACTGGAGGTGACTGGCTGGTGGCCAAAGAACCCATACAGAGGGCGGAGCAGCTACTATCTCAGGTCATACACTAGCTACACCTGTTTCCTGGAACCAGCCTCCAGCTGACCCCAGGCTGACGTCCCTTTCCCATCATCTCTACCCCACCCCCCACCCTCCCTCCTCCCCCCGTTCCAGGAAACACAGAGGAAGCCGCCAGGTACAAGTCCGTGCACAGACCCGAAGGCGAGCCAGAAGAAGCAGAATAAGCGCCTTGTTCAGCCAGCCAGAAGTGACCTTCCTAACACTCACCCAGCAGGACAAGGAGCTTCCTTTGCCCCCCAGCATCTCTCTAAGGCACTGGGTGGGAGCAACTCTAATCCTGGCTTCTCCCCCAACTCCTCAGAGCCCTGGCTGGTGTGCCATTCACACAGTGTTACGAAGCCAGAGTTTAGGTGGCTGGGCACCTGTCCCTAGGAACATCTACTTCCTGTGCGTCCCCCCCTCTCTCAGCAAGTCAGCGTGGGAGCAGTAGCAGGGCGTGGGATAGAACCGAGCAGGCGACAAATGGCAGATACCATTCCTGAGGGAAGAGCCCACATGCCACTGGCACCATGAAGAGGAGGCTGCAAGAAAGGAGAAGAGAGTTAGGGACACGTCCTGGTCTGGCCACACCCTGTCCCTGAGCCCACACATCTGACCTGCCTTCCTCCAGCCCTTCTCTATGCCCTGTTTTGTTTGAAGACAGGGTCATGTAGTCCAGGGGCAGGATCAGCTGAGGCTGAGACTGATCTTGAACACTGATCCTCCTGCTCCTACCTCTACTGGGATGACATACCTGTGTGCCACTCCCCTGGCTGGGAATTGAACTCGGTCTTGTACATACTAGGCAAGCACTCTACCACGGAGCTATAGTCCAGAAAACTAACTCATCTGACTTGGTGATAAAATCAGTGTCCCTTCCCCCCACTCCAACCTCCACTTCACCCCCATATCCCTCCTCCATGCGAAGGAAACAATGACGTAAGGAAGAACAGTAAACTGCAGACTCCAAGGTCACCTGTGCCACACAGGCAAAGAAAGGGACTCTCGCCAGGAGGGCACAATTAATGGTACTGGTCAATGGCCAAGTCCCTAAGAATGCTGGCATGACATGTCATTTTTCCTGTCTGTGAGGCTGGGATGCCTGAGAGCCCCAACCAACCTCTGCCTCCTCATTCTTACATCTTCTCTAAAACTGCTCTAGACCTGAGGGAGAGGGGACCCTGGGAAGAACTCCAGCTCAGCCATCTGGGTGCTAGGATATGACATGAGCCACTGTGCTCAGCCTGGCCACTTCTGAAGACAGGTCAAAAGACAGGTCCCGGGCGCTCCAGCCAGCAAAGACCCCAAACCACCAAAACCATATACTCACAAGCAGCCGCACAACAAGACCTGCAGCGGGGCATGCAGCACTCTGACCTTCTGCACAGAACAAGAGAAAGACAGCGAGACCCCCGTGGGGCTCAGACACCGGCAGTCGAGCCTGCACCTACCCCTCCGCACCTAGCCCTCCAGCTGGCAGCCAGGCCGGGAAGCCTGCTCTCACATCTGACACGGGCTCTCCTGGAATAGGTGGGGTGGTGGCTGTCGGGGAGGGGGGACCAGTTTCCGGGGCTCTGGGGGGGGGGCGGGGAGGACCCTCCTACCTTCATTGCTCGAAGTCTCTCCAGCCGCTCCATGATGACTGGTAACAGGACTGGAGGAGACAGGGCAGCTGAGAGAAGGGTGGGAGACTCGCCCCAAGCCCCACTGTTACAGTCACATCCCAGACCTCAGCTCCAGAAAAACAGAGACGGCGTGGGCACTGCTGCCCGGACTCTCCCCCAAGTCCTGAGAAAGCATGCTTCCCAAAAACGTGTTCACCAGCAACAGAAGGCAGACACACTTCGTTCAGCCCTGGACTCAAGCATCTCAAAATCAAAACTGCTTGGCGGGCTTGTGCAAACAAATTGCGTATCCTATTGTGCACACGCCCCTGCTGAAAACCAGGGGGGCTGAGGAGCTCTGCTTCTACCACGGCCTCCCAGACACCCCCACTGTTGCTTAGTGAATATCAGCTAAATGAAGTTAACCTGCTCCCCCAAATCGGATGAACTGATATTCTAAGAACATGTGTGCATCCCTGGGCTTTCAGCTCTCACAGAAAACAGCCTGAGAAGGTGTCCCATCTCCCACTCGAAAGCTGAGGTAACTGAGGCCTCTACCAGGTACTCAAGGGTTCCCCCAAGATAGGAGGTGTTCCCGTCTTACTCATGCCAGGGGCTGCCATCGTGATCCGAGAAACCACCACTTGGGTGATGCCCACAGCCGCAGCTCTCTGAGGACAGGGAAGGGAGGTCAGGAAGCACTTACACAGTGGACATGGGCTCCACTGAAGAGGCAGGGCTCAGGGCCAAGTCTGACAAGGTAAGGGGTGGGATGGCTCCACTAGGAGTCATGTCCTTACCCAACCCTCCCACCTGAAATGATGCCGGAAGCCTGTTCTGAACAAAGAAATGTGGGGGAATTTAAGAGAAAATGAGGATGGGCCCAGGAAAAGTCTTCTCAAACTCATAATGGCTCCCAGGTGATCACATGTGAGATCACTTAGGAGGGGACGAGGGAAGTCCGGGGAAAGTCTCTCCTCTGCTTACCTGAGAACAGCCAAGCTCATTTTGGTCCCTGTCCTTCACACAGATGCCCTGGATGAGTTCCCTAGACAAACAGAAGTTTCTGGACTTTAGGAAGTAATTGCTGGGAATTCATCTGGCATAATTCCCACATCAGGAACCAAATCTCTAGGAAACCCCTCCTGCAGCCTGGCCCTTCAGCCTCCCTTCTTGGCTGGAGAGATGACTCAGAGGTTAAGAGCCCTGGCTGCTCTTCCAGAGGTCCTGAGTTCAATTCCCAGCAACCACACGATGGCTCACAACCATCCATAATGAGATCCGGTACCCTCTTCTGGCATGAAGGCATACATGCAGGCAGAACACTGTATACATTTTAAAAAAAAACAAAACAAAAAGAATCCCACAGTTTCCCTTCTTCACTCCTGTGAATGGTACCTCAGAAGTGACCCTGAGCAGCGGCCAAGAGAGCCAGCCCCAGCTCCACTGCCTTGGAGGATTCCTGAAGCTGCAGGTCATAGGTGTGACCTTGAGGATGGTCTTTTATCCTTCTAAAGCCCCAGTTTCCCTCATGTGGAGAATAAGGATAATCCTGGCACCTACTTCATGGAACCTAATGAGAACTGTATAAACTACTGGCCAAGTTCTAAGTCCAGTGACGACTTGGTATCCACTCCCCAAATAGTAGCTTTTCTGTTCTCAGACAAGCTCTTGACTCCCCAGTTGGAGAGCGAGGCCGAGAAAGGAAAGCAGAGTGGAAGGATGAGCCGGCATGATTCTGGCAAGCTCTCTCTCCAGGGGCTGCTGTGGTAAACCTCCACTTGCCAACAAAACATGGCTGCAGAGCAGACAACGATGGCAGTGGCGTCCAAGATAACCAGCCCCTGTGTCACTTATACTCTAGAAAGTACACAAAGAAAGAGCAAAGACGCAGAAGGTGGGCTGCGGATGCAGCTCCAGAGTCACCCTGGGGCTCAACACCCAGCGTGGCAAAGAGAAAAAAGAAGAAGCCTTTCCTGTAGCGCACGGCCGCAGCCCCAGCGCTCCAGAGGCAGAGATCAACGCAGCTCAAGGCCAGCCTGGCCTGCACAGTGAGTTCCAGGCCAACCAGGACTACACAGTGAGACCCTGTCTCAAAAAACAAAAATAGCCTGGAGAGATGGCCCAGCGGTCAAGAGCACTCACTGTTTTTGAAGAGGACCCAAGTTCAGTTCCCAACACCCACATCAGGAAGCTCACAACTGCCTATAACTCCAGGAGAGTTTGAACCATTGAGTCCAATCTCTGTGGGCACTTGCACTCATGTGCACATACCCACACATACATACACATAACTAAAAACAAAATCATCAGGCAGTGGTGGTGCACGCCTTTAATCCCAGAACTCGGGAGGCAGATGGATCTCTGTAAGTCCAAGGCCAGCTTGATCTACAGAGCGAGCTCCCGAGGATACAAAGTGAGTCCCTCTCTAAAAAAAGCAAACCTCTGGAAGAAGACAGAAGTGTAAGACAGCAGCAGTTTCTGTGTTCCCTTTTGAGGAGAGCTAGGCCGGCTCCTGGGCGCGGCTGCCTCCTCCCCGCTTCTCCGAGCACCCGTTGTTCCAGCGTTAGCTGACCTTCCCCTTTCCCTCCTTCGGCAGTCTGAGAGCTTGGGGAGGGGACACAGTTCACAGCTCTGACAGGATCTAAGCTGGGGTGTAGCATTAGGGACAGAGCGCTTGCCTAGCACACACGAGGCACGGGGTTCAATCCCAGCACTGCCAATAAAAAATGTCCTGTCCATCTGTCCATGCTCAATCCACCTCACTTAACGCACGACACGCTGTGTTTATATCACCATTCTTTGGGCCATCACAGAGGAAGGGCAGCCCTTGAGGACCGTTCAGAGGCTGGGCCCATTGGTCTTCTCAGGCCTACCTCAGTCCCAGGAAGCCAGTGGCTCCCTGCCTTGGCTTCCTTCCTTCCCCAGTTAGCCCTTGGGTGGAGAAGAAGAACAAGGCTCCCTGTACTCACTGCTGTCGCATCATTGGGATATTGACACAGTTAGCTGCAGCCACAGCGGCAAAGGGCACCCATCGGCCCACCAAGGGGGGAGCTCTCTGTTGGAGGCAGGGAATAATGGAAGTTATTCCAGTTCACGCGAAGGTGGGGGTAGGAAAGGCTCTGGATTATACAGGAAGAAAGGCAGGTAAGCATTGCTAGTGACATGTCCAGACATCCACTCTGGGATCCTCAAACGCCTGCAATGAGCCAAAGCTGTTGGCTCTAGAACTTTGCTGCCCTCTGGTGGCCACTGTGCCCACAGCAGCCCCAGCCGTACATACCTTTGTCCACATGTTCATGCCCACTGCAGTGGCTACCGCAGTGGTAGTGGCTGTGAAGTAGGAGAGGGCCATCTGCCTAGTGGAGGAGAAACATCAGGTGGATAAGTGCACAGGTTCTGGAGTGGTGTCCACAGTGGCTGAGGCAAGGCCAGGGGCTTCCAGGAGAAACTCTAGCAATGGGGCTTCAGGCCTGTGCTGTCTCCAGAGCCATCTCAGACTCCTTATTTCCATCACTCAGTGCCTGGCACCCTTGGTCCTCTTCAGTACCTTAAACACATCACACTTTTTCCTGTCTCAGAACCAATGCATACGGCTGCTCTCTGTCTACAGAACATCCCTGGGCTCCTGCATGCCTGAATCCTTATGCTGGCTAGTTTTATGCCAACTTGACACATGCTGAAGTCTTCTGAGAGAAGGGAATCCCAATTAAGAAAATGCCTCCAGCCAGCAGTGGTAGTACATGCCTGTAATCCCAGCACTCGGGAAGCAGAGGCAGGTGAATCTCTGAGTTCAAGGCCAGCCTGGTCTACAGTGCGAGTTCCAGACAGCCAGGCCTACACAGAATAACCACCCTGTCTCAAAAAACCAAAAAGAAAAGAAAATTCTTCCACAAGGCCAGGCTGTAGGCAAGCCTTTAGGGCATTTTCTTTCTTCCTTCCTTCCTTTCTTTCTTTTTTTCTTCTTTTTTAATTTCTTGAGACAGAGTTTCTCTGTGTAGCCCTGGCTGTCCTGGAACTCACTCTGTAGACCAGGCTGTCCTCGAACTCAGAGATTTGCCTGCCTCTGCCTCCTGAGTGGAATTAAAGGCGTGCGCCACCACTGCCCAGCTTAGGGCATTTTCTTATTAGTGACCGGTGGGGAAGGACCTAACGAGTTGTGGGTATGGCCATTCCTGGGCTGGTGGTCCTGGGTTCTGTGAGAAAACTGCTGAGTAAGCCGGAGGGAGCAGGCCAGTCAGCAGCACTCCAGCACAGCCTCTGCATCAGCTCCTGACTCCTGGATCCTGCCCTCACTGCTCTCAATGATAAACTGTTACATCAAACTGTGAGTGAAATGAACCCTCCCCTCCCCACGTTACTTTTCTTTGCTTTCTTTCTTTCTTTTCTGGTTTTTCGAGATGGGACAGCCTTCACTGCAGGTCTCCTACCTGACTGACGTGGGGGAAGCTGCGTTCCTGTTGGTGTAGTTGACTAAGGCATTGAAGGACTGGTTCACCCACTGCCAGAAGATCACCGCAGGTATGGTCCTACAAGCAAGGGGGAGCAGAAGCGATGGGAGAGAGGCCGGGGTGTGCTGGGCACCAGAGCATCCGCAGCTCCCGAAGCCATTCCCACTCTTTTTCATGTCCCTGGACTTTGGATGGGACGAGCCTTTGTCTGGAATAGCCCCTCTTCCTTACACTGGATGAGATCCTGCCCCGTTGAGATGCTTCTCTTCTTGGAATTTTCTGACCCTTCCTCTCTCCGTCCTGAGACAGTCATTCCATGTGTCCTGTTCCCACGACTCGAAAGTCTTCCCCCAGCCTTTTACTTCCCAATCTCCATTCTGTTCTGTGTGTCCGGAGGACAGAGCCTAAAGTCCTTCATCCCTGGCACCTGGCCCAAGGCTTAGCTCAACATCTAACTAAATGAATACACAGGGGTGGAGACAGAGGGATGGAGAGTCATACATCAGAAGTTTACTCCCTTCCCAACCAAGCAGAGCAAGAAAAGGGCCTCTTCATTTTTCATTTGGAAATCACATTCAAAGCATAAATCAACTGTGGAATTCTTACTTTAAGAACTTAGGAAGAGGGACTGGAGAGATGGCTCAGCAGTTAAAAGCACTGGCTGCTCTTCCAGTGGACCCAGATTCAATTCCCAACACCCACATGGCAGCTCAAGCCTGTCTGTAAATCCAGTTCCAGGTGACCCAACACCCTCACACAGACATACACGCAGGCAAAACACCAATGCACATAAAATAAAAATTATTAGAAAAAAAAAAGAACTTAGGAGGAGCCAGGCATGATGGTGCACGCCTTTGATGCCAGCACTTGGAAGCAGAGGCAGGTGGATCTCTCTGAGTTTGAGGTTTGGTCTACATGGCCAGTTCCAGGCCATCCAGAGTTACATTGGGAGACTGTCTCAAAAAAACAAAACAAAAACAAAAACTAGGCCGGGCGGTGGTGGCGCACGCCTTTAATCCCAGCACTCGGGAGGCAGAGCCAGGCGGATCTCTGTGAGTTCGAGGCCAGCCTGGGCTACCAAGTGAGTCCCAGGAAAAGCGCAAAGCTACACAGAGAAACCCTGTCTCGAAAAACCAAAAAAAAAAAAAAAACAAAAACAAAAACTACAATAACGACAAACAACAAAGAACTCAGGAAGTTGATGAGATGGTACGGTGGGGAAAGACGCCTGCGTTCTATCCCCAGGTCCCACATGGTGGGAAGAGAAAACACTTGTGTTACGTTGTCCTTTGACCTTCACACACACACACACACAATCACACACACACACACACACAGTGGGATGTACCCCCACTTCACACACACACACTAAAATAAACAAATGTAACCCCAGCACTCAGGAGGCAGAGACAGGTGAACTCTGTGATTTTGAGGCTAGCCTGGTCTACAGGGTAAGTTCTAGGACAGCCAGGACTACACAGAGAAAGCTTGTCTTAAAGAGAGAGAGAGAGAGAGAGAGAGAGAGAGAGAGAGAGAGAGAGAGAGAGAGAGAGAGAGAGAGAGAGAGAAGACTTAATCCTTTAATCCAAGTACTCTAGAGGCAGAGGCAGTTTGAGTCTCTGTGATTTCAAAGTCAGCCTAGTCTACATAGAGTTCTAGGCCAGCCAGGGCTACATAGCGAGACTCTGTCTCAAAATAATAATGATGAGGGGCTGGAGAGATGGCTCAGAGGTTAAGAGCATTGGCTGCTCTTCCAGACGCCCTAAATTCAATTCCTAGCAACCATGGCTCACAGCCATCTGTAATGAGATCTGGTGCCCTCTTCTGGCCTGCAGGCATACAAGCAGGCAGAACACTGTATACATAATAAATAAATAAAATTAAAAAAAATTAATACTGATGATAATAGTAATAACATAAAAAGCTTAGGATGGCTAACCCATTGAATATTAGGTCTGTTCCAACGGCAGCAGCCCCCACAGCTCTGACTGTGGTGGTAAACTGTTACTTGGCCTCTAGACTCCCATGTAACAAAGGGGAATGAAAACAGCACCTGTGTGTAGGGCTGTTGAGAGTGAAACGTCCATTCATGCAAAGAACTCAGCAGTGCCCGGGATCTGGTAAGTGACTAGTCGAGAGGTCTGTTATCACAAGGGTCTCTACCCAGCTTGGCCTTCCCTCCTCGGTCTCAGGACTCACCTGTAGAACTGGAGCATGAAGCCCGTGATGATCATGCCCCCGGGGACCTGGAAGGACATCCGCCCAATGACGTTCATCTTCTCCCCAGTGTCAGGGTGGAAAGCCGAGTCATACAGCTTCTTAGCATACAGCAGCTGCTCCACCTGAGTGCCAGGGGGCACAAGTCCCATCCTGTCCCCCAACGACAATAGCAGTGACCACCTGACCTGATGATCTCCTAGTCTCCCTGCTCTTCTTCCTTCCTGAGGCCTCTGCCAATGCCTTCACCTTTGGTTTCTCCCTCCTTCGGACAGCCCTGCCGCGTAGTGCTGGAAGCTCCAGCCCCGCCCCTGGCCGCTCCTCACCTGCTCTTCTCCACCATCACTTTCGCCCAGTCCAGCTCCTGCTCTGACGCAAAGACAGTGCGAGGATCCGTGATGTTAAAAAAGTGCTTCACACGCCCCAGGAACGTGCACTGATCCCAGCGGGGCGCATCAATGTTAAAGCCAGACAGGTCAGCCTCCATATTGTTCACACACACACAGCCTGCAGACTTAAGGAACAAAGAGAGAGTGAGATCTGGCCCCTAAATCGGTTTGCCCCAGAGGCCCTGGCACACAGAGACTGCCTGCTTTCACCAGACCCTAGGCACCCCCTGGGATGATCCAGGGGCCCCTGTGAATGGTAATCAAACTAAGCAAGTGCTTCCTGGGTCCATGTTAGTGGCCAGCCCTATGCCTGATCACACTATGAGAGACAGATTCTGCCCCAGAGGAGCTCAGTCTAACTACGCAATGAGAGATCACCACGAACTAGCATCATATCCCCTGGTACTCCTGGAAGGGAGACAGGAAAAGTGGCCGTTCTGAAATAGAAGCCTCCAGAGAAAGTCTTTCCCCACAGCCTAACCACCATGGCAGCGAAAACATGGCAACAGGAGGAGTGAGGTGCCTGGGTACATTGTGTCTGCAGTCAGGAAGCAGAGAGGGATGAATACTGGTGTCCAGTCTCCGATAGCCTTCCCACCTCACCTACAGGGGCTGAGGAGTGCGGCCCTAGAAACATCTGTGGGAAGTGCAGGGCGAGGCTAGCTAGGGACACACCAGACACTTGTCTGATCTCAGTGGCTCTCTAAAGCTTTGGAGCTAGCATTCACGGCCCTGTTACTCCTGTATTTCAGGTGCCTGAAAATCCACAAGGACAATTCCAATTCTACTACAAGTTCAAGACTCAGTCCAGCTCCTACTTGGAGCCCAAACCTGGGAAAGCAAGTCCACAGGTGATTGTTTTAAACAGCAGGGCTCTCTCCCTTCAAATGAACTTGCATTTTCACCAAGTGGAGCCGTGAATGGGTAAACCTCTTTTATTATCCCAGTGAAAAACAGCAGGGGTCTCTTTCTTTTCTTTTCTTTTTTTTTTTTAAGATTATTATGTATGCAGTGCATACCTGCAGGCCAGAAGAGGGCGCCAGACCTCATTACAGATGGTTGTGAGCCACCATGTGGGCGCTGGGAATTGAACTCAGGACCTCTGGAAGAACAGCCAGTGCTCTTAACCTCTGAGCCATCTCTCCAGCCTGCAGGGGTTTCTCTTTAATGGCACTGTCTCTTTAACAACTCTAGATGCTTTCTTGAATCTACCCCGTCTCCCTGCTCCTCATATCATTGTGCTTTTTCTCACTGTAGTTCTAAGATCAGTGAGCAGTAACCATGCCACAGCCTAGATGTTATGTTGTCTTGAAATTTCTCCAAATAACTTAGTCAATTACCTTTTAATTTGGCCTCACTTAAACTTTCAAGATATGCGCAGAATGCATATTAATTGCCAGAATGGAACATGAATGATTTCTAGCCCTGTTCCCAGCGGGGTCTCTGTTCCCTTCTGGAAGCTCACCAGGCAGGCTACCACTGTCTGCATTATCTGGGCTTTCCTGGGTTCCAAACTCCAATCAAAATGGCCCACTAGGTTCTGCTTATAGCATTTGAGAGCTTTTATGGCCATGGCTCCAAACTCCTCCATGTTACTCCTGAAACAAAAGGCCTGCAAACCACACGATCAGGTCTAACACAACAACAGCCCTTCTCCTTACAATTCTGGGTACTGATACTTTCTTGCCACGACAAAACAAATTATGAAAGTTGCAGGGGGAGGGGGAGTTATTGTGGCTTATGGTTCAAAAGAATGCATCCCATCATGGCAAGAGACATGGCAGCAGGAAAGTGAGGTGGCTGGGCACATGGTGTCTGCAGCCAGGAAACAGAAAGATGAATGCCGGTGCCCAGCTTGCTTTCTCCTTTTTCCTTTTCCTCTTACATTCAGTCTAGGACCTATGCTACATTTAAGGCAGATCTTTCCTACCCAGTTAAAGCGCTCCGGAAACACCCCAGAGACTGATTCAGAAGGACATCTCCTTGGCGATTTTAAATGCAGGCAAGCTGATGATGATTAACTGTCACAAGGGTCGTTTGCCTTTCTGTTTTTCTAAAGCACCACCTTACTTAATTAAATATTCACCTGTAAAGTTGGGGAATGTATTCAATTTGTTCAATGATTGTCCTGACGCCTAGCAGAGTATTTAGTGTCTGCTGGGGGAAGAGTCCAGCTGGCCAGCAGGAAAGTATGAGGGCTTGAAAGTACAGATGTGTAGGCTAAGGAAAGAACTGTGTCCGGAGCACTGAAGTCATTTAAGCGACAATTTTTCTAGCGAGACTACTCAGAAGAGAGAGGGAGGTGAGGATAAGTAAGCCCCGAAGAACTGCTGTATTTAAGAGGCAAACCAAGAAAGGTGGTCTCAAAAGATGGGAAAGAATGCAGGAGGGAGGGAGGGAGAGAGAGAGAGAGAGAGAGAGAGAGAGAGAGAGAGGGAGGGAGGGAGGGAGGGAGGGAGGGAGGGAGGGAGGGAGGGAGGGAGGGGAGGCAGGGGGGGCAGCACGGGGCGGGGGGGGGGGGGGGGGGGGGGGGAAGAATGGCGGTCAGCTGGAGAGTGTGTGGTTATTAGGGTGGGAAGCCTGATGCAGGAGGTTGACACACTGGGAGCCAGTCTGTAAGCAGAAAGAAACTGAAGAGAAAAGGCCAACCTGCAGCACCCACAGTGCCCACAGCACCCCCAGTGCCCACAGCGCCTGGGCCTGGGCCCAAATGCAACGCCTTAAGTGGCACTCTCTGGAGGAGGTGGGAGCGACTGCAGGTGTGCACTGCAGAACGCTGATTTCTGCCTCTCCCGCTCTACTTGACTCCTGCGAGATGGTTCCAATACCAAAAGTATTTCCCTGAACCTAACAGCACTCATGGTAGAGAAAAAGGGTTCACTTCCTAGATATGACAGGAAGCGTCTCTTCCCTCGACCCAGAACCAAAAGAAAGCTCAAACTCTAGTCCCTGCCCTTTCCTTCCTGTGCATCTTCTCTATCCAAATTGCTGGTGTCTCTATGGCTAATTCCGGTCAGCTAGTTGCTGACTCTGCCCCGAGTGTCACAGTTCGATCAAAATATCCCACAACAACATGGGTTTGTGGCAGCCATTATCATTCAAACCACTAGATGACTGAGTGGTAATGCAGAGGGCCTGGAGTTCAGGTCCCAGCCTCCACATGGTGGTTTTCAGATCATCTGTAACTCCAATTCCAGGGGATCCAACACCTCCTGACCTCTGTGAGCACCAGACACTCATGTAGTGCGCATATACGCAGGTAAACACATAAAGAAAAAGGGGCCGGGAGCAGTGGCGCACCCTTTAATCCCAGCACTCAGGAGGCAGAGGCAGGCGGAGCTCTGTGAAGTCGAGGCCAGCCTGGTCTATAGAGTGAGGTCCAGAACAGCCAGGGCTTATTACACAGAGAAACCCTATTTCGAAAACAAAACAAACAAACAATAATAGTTCAGACAAGCCTGAGCTATGCATAGTGGAAGGAGGAAATAGACTCTGCAAGTTGTCCTCTGACCCCCACACACAGACATGGTGGCAGGACAAATGGCTAACTGTAGTGTCTATTAGCATACCAAAGAGTCTGCTGGCCTCCAGTACCACGCTCTTCTCCCCTCTTCTAACCCGGCCCCTACCCTAAACTTCTCCAGCTCCTGGGCTTCCCTGCTCCCGTCTCAGCCATCCCCTCTCTAGCCCTCCTCTCTCTTGGTCCTGTCTTCCTCTCTCACTCTCCTCTTATGGCTGTCCATTCCATTCTGCTGTTTTTCTCCCCTGTTGGACTCTTCCAGATGTCTCTGACTGTACTCTCTCTCATAGCTACAAAAAAACCTTCTCCTCAACCAGACCACCATGAGTGGTCATGGCCTCACTTTATACACAAGGTACTTGGTCACCACACACACACAGATAAAGAAATGTTAACTTCTTTTAAATGAGGCAGCGGTTGTGAGAGAAACAGTGAACAAGAGAGAGGAGCAAACAAGTGAAGCACAAGAGCACTGATGTTTCTCCCTAGAGAATGCGCATCTCCTCTAGCAAATGGTACCAGAGCCCAGAAAAGGGACCCCAGGCAGAGTTCTGAGCTAGAGGACTTGCCCAGCAGGCACCAGGCCTTGGGAGATCTAGGCAGCTCAAAACTCTAGAAGACCAGACCAAAGACCACTGAAATAGTGGGACACCGTCAAGGGTGCCGGGCGCAAGCTGGAGAATGGCGGCAATAATGAAACCAGCAGGCCCAGGCCCGTGCTCACAGACATTCATCGGACTCCAAGGCAACTGTGATGACAGACGCCACACCTCCAGAAGGAAATCTGAGCGCCTCTTCCCACAGAAAAGCCCACAGTGTAGAAACCAGATTTGGGGGATGGGTGGGTAGGAGGTGCGTACTCTAACCACTCACCTGTACCTCTTTTTTTTTTTTTTTTTTTTTTTCATTTTTCAAGATGGTTTCTCTGTGTAGCCCTGGGTGTCCTGGAACTCTGTAGACCAGGTTGGCCTCAAACTCCGAAATCTGCCTGCCTCTGCCTCCTGAGTGGCTGGAATTAAAGGTGTGTGCCACTACCGCCCAGCTCATCATTTTAGTCAAAATTCAGTATTGACTTTTTCCCCAAGGATCTGATGCAAGTATGCAGGTAGATGTTCTTGTGAAGGGGCCCCAAAATAGCTTGACCATACAGCAGCCATGATAGGCTTAGGGGCGTAGACACAGCTTCTGTGACAGGCTTACTGGCAGGCAACATCCAGATCCAGGAAAAGCCATAAGCTGATACTACCCAGGGATCCACCCAGGGGTGAGGAAGTACCTGACATCCCAAACATTCCAACCATTAGATAAGGTGGCCAGATGTCCTTGAATCTAGCACACACCTATTTTTTGTTTTACAGATACCCCTAGACAATTGTCAGCCAATCAGGGTCCTAGACCCTGGAAATCCCCTCACCCCAACCTCTGCTATGATAAAAACTCTGCCCCACCTGAGCTCAGGGCTCTCGGCTCTCACTACTGTGTCGGACAGACAGAGGGACCAAGCTCTGGAGCTTGAAATAAAGGCTCTTTGCTTTTACATGTGGGATTCGGTGCTGTGGGATGTTCTGTATGGCAAATGTGTTGCTCTGATTGGTCAATAAATAAAACACAGATTGGCCAGTGGCTAGGCAAGAAGTATAGGCGGGACTAACAGACAAGAGAAAAGAAAGAATAGGAAGGCAGAAGGAGTCACTGCCAGCCACTGCCAGGACAAACAGCATGTGAAGACTCCGGTAAGCCATGAGCCACGTGGCAGGGTATAGATTTGTGGAAATGGATTAATTTAAGCTGTAAGAACAGTTGGCAAAAAGCCTGCCACGGCCATACAGTTTGTAACCAATATAAGTCTCTGTGTTTACTTGGTTGGATCTGAGCGGCTGTGGGACTGACAGGTGAGAGAGATTTGTCCTGACTGTGGGCCAGGCAGGAAATCTCTAGCTACAAATGGCGCCCAACGAGTTGGCAAGAGTTTCCGCCTAAAACCTGAGAAAAGATTCTAAAACGGAGCTAAAAACAGCTTCCTAAATGTCTCTCTCAAATGAGCGGCAGCTGCTGGTTTGAGCTACTTGTGGGTTCCTAGCATGCACGCTCGACCTGCCTCGACCTGCCTCGACCTGTCATATGGCGGGAATGAGGCCTCTGCAAGTGGCATATTAAGCTGCGTGGTGGATTTAGCCTTTGCTAGTACAAAACAAAAAAGGAGGTTTCTGGACTACACGCTGCTTGGATAAAAGCATAGACCCACGATAGCTCCCAGAGCTGGTGGTAAACGTACCACTGCCATGTTGGGAAGCTGAGGTGGGTGGAGCCTTCAGCCACAGCTGCTGCAGTTTAAAGCAATAGATTCACAATAAGACAGATTCAGATGTAATAGTTTACAATGTGTGTAAAATATACGTAGGCTTGAAAGAGACAAAAAGGTGATATATACAGTTATATAAACAAATACATAGTTTTAAAAAATAAAGTCTTAAAAGAGACAGTAAAATTAATATAAAAAATAAGCCACGTAAAGATGAATATTACACAGAGAATCTGGATTGTGTTGTCTTTGGAATTTTTAACTGCAGAAAAACATTTGATTGTAAAAGATGTTGAGTTAAACCAATATGTATATTTTAAAGGTACCTTGACTTCAAAATTTGGATATAAGGATGTGTTGCTTTGGAAAGGAGACTCTGCTTTTGTTCCCACAGAAAGCCAGAGGCTATGGATTTGTTCCAGATTAAGATACATCAGGTTTGACCAGCCAAGACTCCCTGAAAGGTCTCCGATGAGACCATGGCCCAGATGATCCAACATCCAGAATGGTTTGAAGGCAACTGGCTCAGACAATACAGCCTCATGGACTATTCCATAATCCTAAAATTTTCTTTGTGTCCCCATAAGATACAGCGCCCCCCTCCAGCAGGAAGTAGTAAGAGAAGCTACGCCCAAATTCCCAAATTATATGTAATTTTACTTTGTTAAGGTTAAAACCTTCCTTTTTGGGGAAAAAAAGGGGGGAAGTGCTATGGGATGTTCTGTATGGAAAATGTGTTGCTCTGATTGGTCAATAAATAAAACACTGATTGGCCAGTGGCTAGGCAAGAAGTATAGGCGGGACTAACAGACAAGAGAAAAGAAAGAACAGGAAGGCAGAAGGAGTCACTGCCAGCCACCGCCAGGACAAGCATGTGAAGACTCTGGTAAGCCATGAGCCACGTGGCAGGGTATAGATTTGTGGAAATGGATTAATTTAAGATATAAGAACAGTTAGCAAGAAGCCTGCCACGGCCATACAGTTTGTAACCAATATAAGTCTCTGTGTTTACTTGGTTGGATCTGAGCGGCTGTGGGACTGGCAGGTGAGAGAGATTTGTCCTTACTGTGGGCCAGGCAGGAAAACTCTAGCTACAATTCGGGCTCCATGGTGGTCTTTGAGGGGTTCCCCCATTAAAAATTACATTCTGATATTTTTAAAAATTTTGGGGGCTGGAGAGATAGCTTAGCGTTAAAAGCACTTGCTTTCACAGAGGACCTGGATTCAGTTTCCAGCACCCACATGATGGCTGACCCCAGCTCCAGAGTACCAAGCTAACACAATACAAAACACTCACTCACATAAAATAGTTTGTTTTTTTTAAATGTTTTATAAAAAGTACTTTACATAGAACTGAATTGTATTGCAAAATAAAAATAAAAATAAAAAAAAAAGTACTTTACTTGAATGTGAAAATACCTGAAAACAGGGCATAGTGGTGCATGCTTTAAACCCAGTACCCAGGAGTACCCAGGAAGCAGGCAGACTTGTGAGTTTAAGGCCAGTGTGGTGTACAGTGAGTTCCAGGTCAACCAGAGTTACATAGTGAGACTCTGTCTCAAAACAACAAAACATAACAAATAAAAAACCCTGAAAACCCACTCAAGAAAAACCTGCCTTTGCTTCAGTCTTAACTAGGTTGGTAGGAAGAGGGATGAAGCCTGGAACCCAGATTAAACTATTAATAACATGCAGCACTTCCCTTGTGACAGGCAATGCTCTATGTACTTGACATAGATAGATAACAGGTACACGTGCATCAGCAAACTTCCAGAGGTACCATCTCTATCTAGACTATCAGCTGTTAGAAAAGTTCTCTGTTTACTAATAGATATAAACTACTCTGGAGCGAGGGATACAGTGTAGCTCAGTGGTCGAGTGCTTGCCTACCCTGCATAAGGCCCTGCATTCAGGGTTCATTCCCCGAGGGTAGACAGCACTCCTACCTGGGCCAAAGCGTTTACAAGTAACACTGTAAAATAAACAGTTTACACATTAGTTCGTGTCCCAACTCTAGAGTTGTACAGAAATAAATTCTGAATAAAAAGCATTCCACTAAGAAGAATACAATTTCTACGAAGGCAGATTATACCAGTGTTGAGAACCTGGCCTGGCACAGGGGCAAAGGTAACTAACTCTCCAGTGGTCCTGTGCATGAGAGGAGTTCCAGGGGATCCCAGACAATCTAACACTCCCGCTGTCAGCTAACCTCGATGCTAGGGACCAGTCCCAATCTCCCTATCGCCCTCTCTCAGGCGACCTCCCCGAACCCAGCAGAAATCACCTATCCTGGATTCTAACGAGACTGTGGAGATAGAGGCGCAGCCCATAACTCCGGTACTCCAAAGCCTGGCAGCCGAAGACAACGGGGGTCAGAAGCGAGGAGCCCATGGGAGCCCAGGTCCGTCCCACCCGCCACGCGGCTTCTGCAGAAGGAAGTCAGCACGCAGTGCCTGGCAGCCCCAAGCGAGCAGAGGCCGGCTCCCTTTGGAGATGCGGAGACTAGAAGTAGCCGTGCAACCGGCCTGCACTTGAGGCCCCTTACCTGCTCCCAGAGGGCTGCACCCGGAGACAGCCACCAGCCATAGATGACTAGGAAGGCTGAACTGGGCACCGCGGCTAGGCCGGGGAACACCCCCTCGCACTACGCCCCCTTTTCTGACCAATCACAGGCCTCAGGCTCCCGCCAGCCACGTGGGCGATGTTGCCCCTCCCTCTGGGTCGCACGCCAGCCCGCCCCGGCCTTCCGCCACTCCCAAGACCGCCTGCGCAGTGGGCGGGCGCTTTAGTGCGCTTGCGCACTCTGAGTAAAGAGGAGCAGAACCCCGCCCCATCCCGCTGCTCCGCTCCTCCGCTGCGTGCGAGGGACGTCAGGGGCGGCGCCGCAGCAGTTACCCCTGGTAACGGGGGAGGCAGAAGGAGGAGGAGGCGGAGGAGGAGGAGGGACTCGGCTTGAGGATGGTGAGTGTGGGGGGCCCCCTGGTCCCTCTGGAGCTGGCCAGTCACCCCCCCCTCCTGTCCCCAGACCCAGGGCGGGGCGCTGCGCTTAAAGCCAAGGGAGACGTGGGATGGCGCTCGCCTTGCTCTCTAGGGTTCTAGATGGGTTTCGGGAATGAAGGGGGAACCCCAAAGGTGGGCCCTGGAGGGAGGCCTAGGCCTGGGGAGGAAGGAGGGATTTGCGGTGGGTCCGAGGCTTGGGAAAGTGACTTGCGGAGTGCTTGGCTGGCAGGGAAGAAGCCTGGGCTCTATCATCATTCTGGGTACTGAGATGAGGGCGGCTCCGGGGAGCTGCAGAGATCAGGCCAGGCACACAGGCTTGATCTTCCTGCAGAGTCGACCTCTCGGCTCCTCGGGACTGTGGGGTCTGTCTGAGACCCGACCAGAAGTGGGAGAGGCTCGGTGCTACGGTCTTTGAGATCACCCTGGCGGCACCAGGGAGATGTAACCTAGCTTTCCTAGATGCTCGCGTCTCTGAGTGAGGTGTGCAGGGAGTAAGTCCCAGGACAAAAAAGCGGTTCCGCTGGGAATGGATGCCTGATTTCACGTCTCTGTGGTGGGTACGCGCCTGCAGTCCCAACTTAATTCGCTGAAAGTTCTGCAAGGTCTAATGGTTGTTGATGAGCGATTTTTCTTCCCATATTTATTCCATGTTGATAGAAGCAAATTAGCCTCCCGTGTCCTAGCATTTCCTTCAAACTTGTTGCAGCGCCCTTTTGCATGTGGCCACACGAAGGGTTTTCGATCCAGTTAGGCCCCTCAAACTAAAAAGAATGAGAAACTATAGACAGTGAGCATCAATTGAAGCAAGCCTTTTCTCCATTAGCCGTAATTAAGGCTTTTCCAAATTGTAAGTTACAGTATGTGACAGATTTAACCAGCGATGCTCAGTTCCTTGTTGATATTTTGAATTACTATTTTATTTAATGTGTATGGGTGTTTAGCCTGCGTATATTTTTGTACCACGTGTGTGCCTGGTGCCTGCAGAAGCCAGAACAGGGCTTTGGTTGCCTGGAATTGGAGTTACAGATGGCTGTGAGCCACCACGTGGATGCTGGGAAATCAACACTGTTCTCTGGAAGAACATCAGTACCGCTGAGCATCTATCCAGCCCTCCTTGTTGATTTGTACGTGGTAAATGGAGAGTAAAACTAGTATGTAGGGGAAATGAATATTTTAGAGCTAGTCGAGGAAAACTAAATTTGAAGGCATTAGAGCAGGTTGGTTGGCTAACTGACTGGTATGAACTAGTTACTGACTGGTATGAACCAGGTACCGTTGTTTTCCCCCTACCCCTCAGTATTTTTGTGAAAATCTTGAACTACTTCTGTTGACTTAAGAAGAAAAAGCTAGGAGATAGCTCAGTTGATCGAGGTTTGCTTAGCAGGCATGAAGCCCTGCGTAAAACCGAACGTGATTGTACCTGGCTATCTCAGCACTCCAGAGACGGAAGCAGGAGGATCAGAAGTTCAAGGGCTACATAGTGATTTCCAGGCAAGCTAGGGATACCCGACACCTGGTCTCAAAAAAAAGAAAAAATACCCAGCACTCGGGAGGCAGAGCCAGGCGGATCTCTCTGAGTTCAAGGCCAGCCTGGGCTACCAAGTGAGTTCCAGGAAAGGCGCAAAGCTACACAGAGAAACCCTGTCTCGAAAAACCAAAAAAATAAATAAATAAATAAATAAATAAATGTCCAGGAGGAGAACTACACGTCTGCTTTTGGCCAGTTTTGTTTATTTGTTTGTTTGTTTTGTTTTTTCGAGACTGGGTTTCTTTGTGTATGTAGCCTTGACTGTCCTAGAACTAGCTCTGTAGACCAGGCTGGCCTCAAACTCATGGTCAAATTAATTGAACAAGTGAATTTTAACCAAAAATAATTAAATAAGTAAATAAATAAATAAATTGACATTGTCAAATTGTTAAGTAGAATTATTTAATATAAGGTTGTCAATCACATTTCACACTTGTTACAGTTACAGTTATTTCTAACCTCAGGCTAAACAGATTTTAACAAGTGTTTTCTTTTTATTATTTATACATGAGCTGTCCATTTAAAGGCTAAGTTTATCTTAACAAATGAGTACAGATATAAATATTTACATAGAAAATAAATGGATCTGAGAAAGTGGTCATAGTGGCTCACACTTATAACCTCAGCAGCACTCGGGAGGTAGAAGGAAGAGGATCAAGAATTCAAGGCTAGCCTGGGCTACATGAGACTGTCTCATAATAAAGAGATAATTTTAAAATTAATGAAAATAATTAGAACTGCAGTTAAAAAGGCATGCCAGGCTGGGTGTGGTGGGTCATGCATGCAATTCCAGTGCTCTAGATGCTCAGTTAAGAGGATCACCATGAGTTAAGAGGCCATCCTGGGCTACAGTTAGTTCCAGGTCAGCCTCAGCTAGAGGGAGACCTTGCCCCAATTGCCATCCCCTTAAAAGAAAGAGCCATATGCCAAACCAAGAGAAAATGAGGTTTGTTATGAATAAGAAACATGAGAGTTGTCGAATTTTCTTCAGTTTATCAATTGAGTGGGCTGTATAATTTCATGATTGTTTAATTATTACTTAATATATTAATAATTATAGGTCATAATAAGTGAACCACTGATCATGTTTCTAGGTGCAAATTGGCACTATATGTAAGTGTATAACAAATTGGCCGTGTGCATATAACATTGTTAGATACCACTAAAGTAGTCAATGCTCAAAATTAAATTTTAAAAAATTTATGTGTCTTTGTGGGGTTTGTTTTGTTTTGTTTTGTTTTTTCCAGACAGAGTTTCTCTATGTAGCTTTGCGCCTTTCCTGGAATTTGCTTTGTAGCCCAGGCTGGCCTTGAACTCACAGAGATCCACCTGGCTCTGCCTCCCAAGTGCTGGTATTAAAGGCTGTGCCACCACCACCACCACCGGCGTGTCTTAGTGTTTTGCCTGAGAGCATGTATGTTCACTCTGGGCATGCCTGGTACCCAAGGAGATCAGAAGAGGGTGTTGGATCCCCTGGAGCTACAGTCAGTTGTGAGCCACTGTGTGGGTGTTGAGAACCGAACCCAGTCTTCTACAAGAGCAACAAGTGCTTTTTTATTATTTATTTTATTTTCTATGTGTGAATATTTTGCCTACATGTGTATATATGTACTGCATGAGTTTGTGATGCCTTCAGAAATCAGAAAAAGGCTTCGGATCCTTTGGAACTGGAGTTATAGATGGTTGTGAGCTGCCTTGTGGATGCTGGGAATGAAACCCAGGTCCTCTGCTGCAGCAACAAGTGCTCTTAACCACTGAGCTATTTCTCCAAAACAAATTTAAAACTTTTTATTGGAGTTATTCATTTTATTTGGTGTGTATTTTGCCTGCATGCATGCATGTATTCTTGCCAACCTCAGAGGTCAGAAGAGAGCGTCGGATCCCCTAGCCCTGGAGTTACAGATGGCAGTGAATGTCCATCGGTGCTAGGAGCTGAACCCAGATCCTCTGCAGGGTAACAAGTGCTCTTAACTACTGAGCCATCTCTCTAGCCCCAAACAGATTTTTTTTTTTTTTTTTTTTTTTTTTTGGTTTTTCGAGACAGGGTTTCTCTGTGTAGCTTTGCGCCTTTCCTGGAACTCACTTGGTAGACCAGGCTGGCCTCGAACTCACAGAGATCCACCTGCCTCTGCCTCCCGAGTGCTGGGATTAAACCAAACAGATTTTTTAAAAGTAAACAATAAGAAATTAGGATTGTGGGGTGTGGTGACACACATCTTTAATCCCAGCACTCAAGAGGCAGAAGCAGGTGGTTATCTGAACTAGAGGCCAACCTGGTCTACATAGAGAGTTTCAGGCTTGCCGGGGCTATATTGTGAGACCCCTCCGTCTGAAAAAAGGAAAAAGAAAGGAAGAAGAAAGAAACTAGGACAAATTTGTTGAGATTATCTGATTTTACAAATCCATTTTTTTTCCTTCAAAAATGTAAGTTATTCTTAGAACTGGAAGTAGAACACTGAGTTTAAATGGTCAATGTCATGATTAAGTGTGTCACATATAGTATCCCATGAGTCCTATGGTTAACTGTACGACTGAAAAGTGAGCTCTGCGAGGCATAATGACACACCCCTTTAATCCCAACACTTGGGAGGCAGGCAGATCTCTATGAGTTCCAGGACAGCCTGGAACTTGCTACATAGTGAAACCCTGTCTCAAAAAAAAAAAAAAAGAAAGAAAGACAGAAAGAAGGAAGGAAAAGAAAAGAAAGTGAGCGTTTTAAATTTCAGCTGTGACTAATTTTTTTCTCTCTTTCTAAATTTGGGTGACTGAAACAAAAAACATTCTAAGCTTCCCTGAACATTTAGGATCTGTTGTTTTACCCTGGTCTTAGAATCACATTCTTTTAGATTTATTTTATATGTATAAGTGTTTTGCGTGCCAGAAGAGGGCATTGGATTCCCTGGAACTGGCATTATGAATGGTTCTAAGTCACCGTCTGTCTGCTGGGAATGGACCCCAGGTCCTCTACAAGAAAGAGCAACAGAGGCTGGAGAGATGGCTCAGGGGTTAAGAACACTGGCTGCTCTTCTGGAGGACCTGGGTTCAATTCCCGGCAACCAGGTGTATGCATAATCAATCAATCAATCAATCCAAAAAAAAAAAAAAAAAGAGCAAGCAGTGCTCTAAACTGCAGAGCTGACTC